GTCACGGGCTCTCTGCCTTCTCCCCTTCGAGAGGTGTTCTGTGGGTGTCAAGCTCTCTAGAGCCCCTGCTGATCAGTAGACAGCAATACTGGACGGAGACGTTGTGAAGGGATGTTGGATACTTGGGCCTGGATGCTGCTTTCATCAGGGTAATAGAAAATATCAGGTGCTTCCTGGAAGGCGGGGAGCACCTGCCACTTCCTCCAAAGGGTACCTGAAGTTCCTGTTCTCCAAACTCCCAGGACTGCTCCTTTAGAAGGCAGACGGGGTGTGGTTACAGCAAGCAGACCACATTTCAGATTCTACCCTCACTTCCTGTTAGCTCTAGACGCCCCACCGTTCCGAGCTTCGTTCTCTCCCCTGATTCAGGAATACACCAGATTGTTCATGGTGAACCACACCTGTTATCCCAGCAACTTAGAAGACAGCGGTGGACGTCTCAAAAGTTTTCATGTAGCCTAGAAACTTAGCAAGACTGTCTCAAAATAAAAAGTGGGAAGTGGGGGTGGGGGTGCAGCCTAGTGGAAGAGCACTTGCCTAGAATGTGCAACCCCTAGTGTAGAAAAAAAAGCTAATATTTCACAGGGAAGGGAGGAGGATTGAACAAAACAACACACACAATTTGCCTGGCACAGAATAAATGTTCCAGCGATGTTCGCTGTTACTATTATTCATCACCTTGTCACAGTCAAATGGAAGCTTCGAACAGATGTGTAACATGGCATTGGTCCATGCCCACCACAGTCCAGCCCCTCGTGGAGGCCCGGAAAATGTGGCTGGGGTGGGTTTGTCAGAACTACAATCTGGTGTCAGAGCCAGAAACTCCTGACATGCCACAGCAATGTTCTTCCTACTGCATCCTCGGCAAAATGTCACTGAGGAATGAGTGAGAACTTGCCTCATCCCTCTCCGCAGTATCTGGAGGCCACACACAGCACAGGGTCTGTAGAGACGCTACCTCTCCTGGGCACTTTCCAGCTGTGCGAGCATGGGCGAGCTCTTAGCCTCTCTGGGCTGTGCTTCCACCATCTGTAAGAAGAGGATAACTCTAGAAGCTCTCCAAGCCTTCATGCAGAGTATCAGCAAGTTGATTGAGAAACTAACTGAAGGCGAACCCTCAGCACTCAGAGAAGAGCAGTTCATTGCCATGATGCTGTTCTAATAGCAAGTCTTAGGGTAACATGGCAGCTGGGGGAGGAAGACATTCAAGCTATGTCCTTGACTGAGGCTTGTGTTCTTCCTGGACACTCAGGGTCTTCATGGGCCCAGGCACATTCTTGTCCAGGCCTGGATAAGGCCCCTCCCCAGCCATGGGATTCCTTCTGCAATGCTTCCTGCTCCTCCTACCTTCCCAGCAAGCTGTGGCCTGCTTGCTGTCTCTGGTGCCTCTGGTGTCTCTCCTAGGACACAAATCTCAGAGTAGGTGGCCATGATCACATCCTCTCTTCAGTTTTCTGGGCTCTGAAAAGCAGCTCTTGCCTAAGGCCGGAGGAACCCACACTTCCCTAGGCTGGGCTGGCTCCTCGGGTTTACTCTGTCTCCCACAGGCAGAGGGATGCCTTGCTCCGACTGTGTTGTGTGACAACACGCTGTTGGATGGCTTCGGCATGCTTGGCTCTACCTGTCTGCAGCCAGAGGTGGTGACTGAGCCCTGGGCGTGTCTGACTGGCCTCAGTTTTATCCCCAAATCAAAATCACTCGCCCTAACTCAGGCATTATCCAAGTACCTGTTAGTCTCCCTCAGTCCCACAATGTCCTGGAAACGGGTAGGGGCGCTCTACTGTCACGCCTGGCGATGACTCCAGGGGAATGGGCTAGCGGATTACAGAAGGAAAAAGGACTCCTCGCCCACCCCTGGCCCTCCTACCTGCGTTTCTTCCAGGAGCAGATCTGGGTGCCCCATCCTCCAGGTGCCCAGAAGCCTGAGTAGTTGTCGAAACCACTGAACCTGACATGCATAACTGCAGGAGATGCCAGCCATCTCCTCTAGATGCAGGCTAAAAATACAGAGGAGTGAGGGCCCTCAGTAATGGAGACTTTAAGAGCCTGTGACATGCGGCGACGGCTGTGCGGCCGCTAATGAGCTCTGAGCCGATCGATGCCTGAGCCCCGAATGAACGCGTGGGCTGGGAGGGGGGACAAAGGTGTCACTCAGCATTTGTCCATCCAGGCTCAGAAGTCTGAAATGCTGGTGTGGGCTGGGAGCTTGGGGACCCGCTCAGGTGACCCCTGGATGTTCAGATGGGGAGACTGAGGCCAAATGGCAGGAGATAGAGACACAGGGGAAGCAGAGACCTCAAGGAACTCCAGCCAGATGTCTTCTTTTCTGGCCTCCCACCCTGTCTCCAGCTCTGTCTCAAAGCCCAGCACAGAACTCGCATGCAGAGATCCTGCAGATGGGTGGTAATTGATCCACGGGATAAATAAATGAGTGAGTGATGGGAAACGTGACTTAGTCATCCTAGAGCTCCAGGGGTGCCTGGCACAGAGTAGGCACTTGAAAAGTGCTTGTTGAATGAATGTCTAATCTGCTTCTCAATCTACCCCTTCCTGAACAAGGAGACAAGGAAGCCTATGGTAACAGTACCTTGGGTCTGAGGTCTCCTTTCTTCGGTCTTATCACTCACAGAACCACGTGCAGTCTTTCCCACCAGAGAAGATAAATAACAAGACCACAGTGAATATCCTTAGACATTTCTAAAGCACACTAATAGAACATTATACAGATTATCTCATTTAGTTCTTACGGCAACCTTAAGAGTTAAGTTTAACCTTTTGTTGTTGTGGTTGTTTTTGAGACAGGATTTTACTATGTAGTTGAGGCTGGCTTTTAACTTACTATGTAGCCCAGGCTGGCCTCAAACTCATGATGGTCCACCTCTCAAGTGCCAGGAGTACTGGCATGCGCCACCACACTAGGCAGAGTTAAATTCAATTTTACACTCATTTTATACAGTAGAAAGCCATAGGAGCTCCAAAAGGTGGTGTGACTTGCCCCATATCACGCCTCTAGGAAAAAGTGGAGTCAGGATTCAAACCCAGGCCAGCCTGCCTGCTTCCTTTGTAACCGACCGCCTCCTGTGCCTTCACTAAAGTACAGCGGGAGAGGAGAGGAGAATGGAGGGCCAGAGAAAGTCATGCAGAATGGAAGGGGGAAAAAAAATACCTCCAGGGCCCATAAAGTGTTTGATAAATTCCAGGAGAAGAATAGGAAGAAATAATGAGCATTTGTCAGAGTCTTTTATAGCATGTGAGACTCGTTTCCCTGCATTCTCTCATTTGATCTTCACCACAGGCCTGGGAAGAGGGTATTATCATTATCTACATTTTATTGGTGAGGAAAGGAAGGCTCCCGTGCCTCCCAGCTGGGCTGGGCAGCCTGCTCACCTGGGGGTGCAGCGCTGCAGGGACGTGTTGGTCATAGTCTCTCCCCAAATTGTCACAGGCTTAAGGGATAAATCCAAGCATTTCTGTGCTCTTTCTAGCCAGAAGGAAAGGGCCAGTGGGGAGGCCAAATGCCACCTCCTCCAGGGACCCTGAGCAGACCTCCCTCTTCCCTCATCCACACTGTCCAGCCCTGGTTCCTTCTGCAGGACACCCTTCAAGGCAGAGCAGAGCTTTGTTATCTGGACCATCACAAAAAGCTTTAGCTGACAACAGCTACCCTTGGCAGCGTGAGAGGGAAGTCTGGTGCAAGGGTTTGTTTATGCAAAGGTGTTGCTGGTTTAAGGACAGAAAGCATGTGTGGAATGAGACTGGGGCACCTCACACTCTCCCTGCTTCCCAGGCCTCAGCTCCCCGGACAGCTTTCTGGCATTGGAGCATGTGACCAACATTGGCAGAAAGTAGATGCGGTGACATAAATTCAGAGACCATGCGATGGAAGTACACAAGAGGCTTGGGTCCTATACCCCAGCTCAGGTCTCAAACAGTGTCAGGAACGACTATCAGGATCATCCTCAGTTTGTCAGAGAGCCAGGCGTGTTCAGTAAGTCCTACCCATCTTCATTTTTTGTGCCAATTCAGATGGATGGAAAAATATTGTTTCTCACTCACCATACAAAAATGAGAACCTAGATTTTATGTGATTAAATTTTTTTTTTTTTTTTTTTTTTTGTCTTTTCCCTCTTTATCAGTACCAGGGATAGAACTCTCGACTGCCTGCTTGGCAGGCGCTTATGCCACTGAGCTAAATCCCAGCCCCTTATGTGATTGAATTTTTGAGCCCAGTTCATATATATGGTTAGTTTTACAGGTTTTGTGATTGAAAAGGGAGACCATCGGACTTACCCTAGTAGGACTCCTCATGCAGGCTTTTGATATCCCTGGAGGCTCTACTACCTAGCAGGCACAGTGCGAGGCTTTGAGAATACAGACCAGACAGGAGTTCCCAGTGTGGTGAGGAGGGGACAAACTTCACAGGGTGGTGGGTGGAAGCTCCTGACACAATCAGGAAGAAACAGAGACTCTGGGAAGAGAGGGCTCCTGGAATCCTAAAGGATGCTCAGGAGGCAGCCAGAGCAGCAACTCTGAATTCTAGTTATGGGTCAGACAGCCTGAGATGGGACCTAGGCTCTTAGCAAAGTGCCGGACCTCTTTGTAAATCGGTTTCCTTGTGTATAAAATATGGATAATAACAGTAACTTTCCCCATGGGGTGGTGACAATTGAATAAGTTAATTCACACAAAGCACTTAGAACAGTGCCCGGCCAATGGTAGGTACCTACTATACATCAGCTATCATTGTCACCATTGTACCACATCATGGTAGGTTGTGAGGATCAGGTAACATTTGGGAAACACTTAGCCCCGACTAAGTACTCGGATACAAGTGCTATCATTTGTGTTATTAAGTAGGCAGTTGACATTACTGTCCAGGTAGATGGAAGGGGGCTAGGATGGAAAGGAAGCTAGGGCAGAGAGGCTAACATAGGGAAAGGCCCAGAGGCCAGAGACAGCCTGGTGCATTTGGGAAAGTCGAGAAGTTCAATTAGACTTACACAAAGTCCGGCTTCCAGGAACCTGCATGACGGGGCTGGAGAGGCCGAGGCTGGGAGACTCTGAAGGCACCCGGAGTCAAGGCTGTCCTGCCCTGCAGACAGCTCTGCTGAGAATGCCTCAGCTGCTGAAGGCCTGCCTGGGGCCAGAGGGCAGACAGGAGCTGAGGGGAGCCGCTCTGGCCCGCTCCCTCCCCGCCCAGTGCCACTCTGTATGGAGCCACTGACTGTCAATTAGGCAGCCTCAGTGCAAGAGGCTCTCTTTCCTCATGCGAAACGTGTCACATCCGGGAACGATCAAAACAGCTTTGCTTTGGCAAAACGTCTTGTGCTGCGTGTTTGTTCTTTGGTATCTGAGTGTAACTCCTGTTGTTCCTGAGACACCTGTGATTTGCTGGTCTCTGACAGCATTTACCTGCTCAAAGTCACTGTCTGCCATACAACACACCTGGTGGCACCCCATTCCTTTCTCTGCCATCTCCCCAGAGCACTAAATGCCTTTTCAGGCCACGGGGGGTGGGACCAGGAATGAATCAGACAGCAAGCAAGGATGGCCAATTTTAGCAGCTACCCCTGCCATCTGAGAATGCCTACTGTGTGCCAGTTGCTTAGAATGCTTTGTTTTCAATCTCCCCAACAACCACAGTTACAGTTTAGTACTTTTATTTAGCTGAAGCACAGTAAGGCTACAGAATGGCCCAGTGTCGCGTGGTGGATAAGTGTGAAAGGTGGGATTCGAATCTGGATCTCTGCTACCTTAGCCTGTACATTTGCTACCACTCAGCCTGGTTGCTTCTCTGCAGCTCACTGGCTCGCCAGCTGCCTGATCTTGAGAGGAAGGGCTTGGGACAGCTGAAATTCAACATAGGCATCGGGGCAACCGACAAGAGTTGGCTCACTAGGTCCCTGGGTTCTTCCCTAAGGAAAGAAGCCCTCAGCTGTGCCAGGCCACCACTGCTGGTCTCCAGATCTTGGTCCTGACCAGTTTCTCTGAAAGGGAGCCCATCCCCTGTGTTCTGCAAGGCTCAGTCACCTGAGCTCTGACCCAAAAGGCTTTTCCTGGTTGGGCTCCATCACTGCCCAACAAATCTTACTTTGAGCTCAATCAAGATTGTTGTTGTTATCATGATGGGGACAGCACAGCCTACTGACATCTTGAGGGCCCTTCCCTGTCCCCTCTCCCTTCTCTCTACATTTGGGATCCCGGAGAGAGTGGGAGTAAAAAGAGATCCAGAGCCTCTGTTATGTAGTAAGTTCCTTGAGTGAAGAGCCCTCTCTCATTCTCCTGTGTCTCCCTAGTGCCCCAGAACTCAGTAGGTGATCAGAAAATCTGTGTTGGATAACAATACCCATAGGTATTATCGTTGGCTGAGCAGAGCTGAGTAATTCATTTGCATGATCCCACTTAGAAAACTATTTAAAGGAGAGATTATTTTTCCCTGCAAATGAGGAAACTGAGGCTTTGCAAGATGAAGCAATACACCACAGACCACAGCTAGAACTGGAACCAGGGATCCACACTCAGGACTGCTTGCCCCGAAGCCTGTGCTCCTTAACTCCCACTCTATTCAGCTCCTTCATGCAGTCTGGGAAGAACATGAGAGTGTCGTGCCCCTCTGGTCAGCTGCCCCGTCTAGCTCTCCCTACGGTCAGTCTCCTAGGATACTGGGGTCCCTGCCCACGCTGCCCCCTCCCCTGGCCCATGGCTCAGAGCAAACCTTCTACCAACAGGCGTATTACTTCTAATTACTTCTAACTGAGAAACCTCAGTTCAAAGCCATTTTCAAATCCATTCAAGTCAAGGAACAGTTCTTACTTTGCCCGTCTGACCCCCCTACCACCCCACCTCCTCCAACTGGCGCCAATAACGAAAGATAAATCTTTCCTCAGAAATATAATAGTTGTTCTTCCTCTTCCCGTTGAAGCCTCTGCCACGAAATTAGCATACGCTGACACCTTGATAGACGAAAAGAAAGGCATGAGATAATTCCCCTTTTCTTTAACCTGTATCGTATGAAGCTGGCTTTCAATTTGCCAGTTACCCAATCCGGCATTCCAGAGCGCAGCCCACCGTGTGACATGTTATTCTAGCTGATCCTACCATCTCTGATATTCATCACCAGCCCTGGGTCACACCTGAGAGAGAAGATTCTCCTTCTTCACATTGATACCTTTCTGGTAGGAGGGGCAGCCAGGGTTCAAACGGTCTGGAAAATGCACATGATGCCGACATCCTTGGTTGGGCGCCCCCAGCTGGAGGCCTGAGGCCTTGCAAGGGCAGCCTGCGTAGCTCCGGGATCATTTTCGCAGACCCTGCCTCGTCCTCTCCTCCCTTACCAGCTTTGATCAGACTCAGGGAGTCCTGCACTGGGTGCAGCAGGAGCCTCAGCTTCTGATGATTTTCTGTCTACCCAACGCCCACACGCCCTGGGCTCATGGCCTGGCACCATGAGGCTGTGTCCAACCTCTTTGGAAGAACTCTGTCTGCCGTCATCTACAGGCTCATGGATGTGACTTTGCCTTGGACCTCTTTGGTCATAAGTAATTTGGAGGAATAAAAACACAATCCTTTCATTTCACAAAGCATTTGTTAAGTGCCTATTCTGTGCTGGGCACTAGACAGAAAATACAGAGATAAACAAGAAAGGCAAGAGGCCCAGCCTCATGGAGCTTATTTATAATCCAGTCCAAGGAAGCATACAAAAACAGAATTATTAGTAAACCAGTAGAAGACACGATTTCAGATGATGACTTGAACTTTACAAGGGAACAAAACAAACATGGACTAGGTGAACTATCTTAGGCAGGGTGGCCAGAGAGGATTTGAACTGATCCATGGATGAAGGCGAATGAACCAATCTCAGAAGAGCCAGGAAAAATGTTCTCTCGAGTGAGAACAGTGGGCTCAAGAGTTCGCGAACCCTGCAGCCCAGCAGCAGGCCCGGTTCCTTCAGAAAGATCGGCCTTACTCTATCGTTTCAACTTCCTCTAACCCCAGGAGAGCAGGGCAGAGTGGGTGGGCAAACAACTTGTTCATTCAGCTGGTGAGGCAGGGAAATGACTGTCCGGGTCTCCCAGCCAGCCAGGACTTCCTAAGGACAGGAGCCAGGTGTCATGAACCGGAACAGAGATTGGAAACCAGACACACCCTCTCATTCTGCCAAAGGCTGACCAAAAAACCTCTGGCCCCTGTCCTTCCTTCACCCATTTTCCTGAAGGACAGGCACTCCAGGTGGGAGGCTCATCTGCCTCCACCAGTCTCCCCCTGGTTTGCCCTTGGGCCCCTCCTAATTGGCTGGGACAGGTTCCTGATCCGTGTTCCAGACCCAAGCTAGGGATGAGTATGGAGGTGAGAGCCAGGAAGCTGCCTTTACCAGTGCAGATGCACCTCATTCCCTCTCCTCCAGCTGAGCAAGGATGAAGGCTTTCTTAAAAGGAAATTCAGCAGCTGGGTGTGGTGGTGCACGCCTATAATCCCTGTGCTCAGGAGGCTGAGGCAGGAGGGTTGCTGTGAAATTGAGGCCAGCCTAAACTACATAGTGAAACCCTGTCTCAAAAAGACAAAAAAAGGAAATTGGTAAGAAAAAGAGGCAAGAAGGGAAAGAAAAGAGACATGCAGAAGCTTGGAGAGGGGTGTGCACAGGACTGAAGCTCCTGACTCTGGAGGAACTGACTTTCTGAGCACTTAACCCCACCATCTTAGTGGCTCAAGACACAGGGACTTGGGACAGCATCAGGCTGAAAGGGGGGACTGCCAGCTGTATCCTGGGGGGAAGGGGACATCACCCACAGGCCCAGAGTATCATAAAGGCTGCTTGCCAGCAAGGCCTGTTGGGATTCCCAAGTGCCTCAGCCTCCAAACTCAGCTCCCCATTTCACCCTGCCCCCGGTTTCTTCGCACAAGAAATCAGAGTGACTTTTTAAAAATGTATATATGAATCAGATTATATCACTTATGATTAAAATTCTCCATAAATACTCTGATGGGAAATAAAAGAGAAAGGCCTGAGTCCACGAGTGGGCAGTGTGAACTGCTGCCCAGCCCACTGTTCAGGGCAAGGCTTGCTGCCTCGGGTTGGAGCACTGCTGGCTGGCAGCCTCCAGCTTTCAGCCCCCGGAGGATCACAGCAGCGCTGGAGAGCAGCCTTGTCCAAGGGACTGGCCCTGGCCAGCATCTCCACGCCGGAGACTGACATGGGGCACGAAGAACTCGCTATCAGCCCAACCCAGACAACCCTGATGCACCATTCCGTCTTAAGTGTGTTGGTACAAAGAGCACAGGAGGACACCAGCACCCCCCTACAGATGGCAGCCCAGGAGTCACCCCTCCTTCTGTCCTCACATTGGCAGATGCAGGCCTTTACTGTGGACCCTTCACAGGGCCCTGGCACCTTTGGGAGCCTGAGCTGGAGCAGAAGTTGGAGCAGCAGCCTGAGCCTAGGCCTTGGTTGGAGTCTGGGCCTCTGGCCAGCGAAGCCTGAGACCTTTGGTAATGTGGGCACCGATATGCTTCTAGGCTTGGGGTGGGCAATACAGGCAAGTCAAGTGAACTTGCGGTTCACACCCTTTAGGATCTTGGGCTTGACTTGCTTGGGCTTGAGGAGGATTCTGATAGCCTCAGTGCGTGTACTCAGGGCCTTGGCATCGCTTGCCTGAATCTTCTTAAAGTCCTGCTTGCTGTGTCTTGGCAAAAAGCATGTTCCTCAGGAACTCGAGATCTACCCTCTTAAAAGATTCGCATCTGTGAGACTGGAGTTTCTTGATGCCATTTCTGTGCCATTTTCAGGATCAGTTGTACGTGGTGTGGCTCTTGAACTTGGCCCTGTCTGTATTGTAAGCTGTGGCTGCCAAATGCCTGGATTCAGAAGAAGAAAAGCCCATTCTGGTTCCAGAGCTCCCCACAGGTCATCTTGAGACTGGTGCTGGGCCTGTACCCAGCGGTCTCCTCTGCCCATTCCTGTCTCCTCCCCCTCCTCCAGGGCATAGAGCCCAAAGCAATACCTGAATAAACTCACGCACACAAAAGCAGAAACACAAGCAAAAGTTCCACAGGCCTCCTCCAGGATTTTGAATAAATATTACATAAACATACACACACATGTATTTTTTAATGAGGGCAGCAAGGCCCTGCGTGCCCCAACCCTCGCCTGGTGTCCCTGCGACCTTTCCCCAACACCTCATCTCTCAGATTTCATTGTCACATTGTCCCCTTTTTCTTCTCTTTAGCATTTATCACCATCTAGTATATGTCTGTCTGTCTGTCCACTGGACTCTAAACTCCGTGA